TCGAACCTGCCACCTTAGGTGTACGTGGCTGGCGCCTTAGCTGGTTGAGCTATAGGCGCCGAGCTGAAAGATTCTCTATTTAACAAATGGTGCATGGGTGACTTGTAGAAGACTGAAACTGTACCCTTACCTTTCACCACTAACAAAAATCAATTCTGACTGAATAAAAGATTTAAACTTAAGACATGAAACTATAAAAATCCTAGAAGAGAGTGCAGGGAAAACACTTGAAGATATTGGCCTAGGAAAATATTTTATGAGGAGGACCCCCTTAGCAATTGAAGCAGCACCAAAAATATGTTACTGTGATCTGATTAAGCTAAAAAGCTTCTGCATAGCCAAGAGCACTATAAGTAAAGCAAACAGATAGCCTTTACAATTGGAGAAGATTTTTGCATGTTATGTTTCTGACAAAGATCTGATAACCTGAATCCATACAGAACTCAAACTAATCAATAAGAAAAGAACAAACAACCCCATTTCCTTGTGGACAAGACACTTGAACAGAAACTTCTCTGAAGATGACAGGCGAATGGTCAAAACACACATGAAAAAATGCTCAACATCTTTAATCATCAGAGAAATGTAAATCAAAACCACTTTGAGATAATACCTAACTCCAGAAAGATTAGCCCACATCACAAAACCCCAGAACTACAGATGATAGTGTGGATGTGGAGAGAAGGGAATACTTCTACACTGCTGGTGGGACTGCGAACTAATATGGTCTTTTAAGAAAAAGTTTGGAGAATTTTCAAGGAGCTAAAAGTTGACCTACCATTTGATCTTGCAGTCCCTCTACTAGTTGTCTACCCAGATGATCAAAAATCATTTTACAACAAAGAAATTTGCACCAGAATGTTTATTGCAGCCAAATTCATAATTGCCAAGTCATGGAAGTAGCTCAAATGTCCATCAACCATGAATGGATTAACGAATTGTGATATATATATATCACAATATATGTATTGTGTATGTAATATATGTATTATATATGTGTATGTATATATATATATATATATGTGTATATATATATCATGGAATACTATGCAGCCATAAAAAGGTTGGAGACTTTAAAACTTTTATGTTTACCTGGATAGAACTGAAACATATTCTTTTTAGTAGGATATGTTAAGAATGGGGGAAAAAAGTATCCAATGTACTCAATACTATTATGATACCAATATATCATCACCTATACATTCATATGAATGATAAAACACAACTATAGTCCCTAAAGAAGGGGAGAGAAGGGAAAGGGGAAGGGAGCAGGGAGGGCAGGAGAAGGAAGGGTATTTGATGGTACCTCACCTATTATGCACAATGGTACATTTCAAAACTACTAAGAATATAGTATAAATGTCTGACTACAACAAATAAGTAAGTAAGATGATGGCTATGTTAATTAGTTTGATTTAAGCATTCCACACTGTATAGCAAATCAGCATACTGTACCTCATAAATGCACACAGCTATGATTTAACAAAAAAAAAGAAAAAAGAAAAGCTAGCCTGGCGTTGTGGTAGGTGCCCATAATCTCAGCTACTAGGGAGACTGAGGCAAGAGAATTGCTTGAGTCCAAGAGTTTGAGGTTGCTGTAAACTATAATGCCATGGCACTCTACCCGAGGTTGACAGAATGAGACTGTCTCAAAAATAAAATAAAATAAAGGTCCTGAAGGAGCTCACAAATGAACAAAGGAGGGTCAAAATTGGCGAAGACTTTTTGGAGAGGCAAGATGATCTTTTGGGCCCAACATGACCCTGAAACAAGGTGTCAAAGTGCACAACAGAAGTCATCCAATTCTCTATGATCAAAAAGTTCCATCATTCCAAATCAAGAGTCAAATGATGTTGCTAATTTTCTTTGATATCAGAGGGATTGTTCATCATGAATTTATACTAACTACACAAACAGTTACCCAAGTTTACTATTTGGAAGTGCTGAAAAGGCTGTGTGAAAAAGTTAGATAAAAACAACCTGAACTTTTCTCCAACAACTCATGGCTCTTGTACTACAACAATATACCAGCTCACACAGCACAGTCTGTGAGGGAGTTTTTAGCCAGTAAACAAATAAGTGCATTGGAACATCCTCCCTACTCACCTGATCTGACTTCCAATGACTTTGTTTCTAACGACAGATAAAGGAAATATTGAAAGGAAGACATTTTGATGATATCAAGACATGAAGGGTAATACGATGATAGCTTTGATGCCATTCCAGATAAACAGTTCCAAAACTGCTTTAAAGGGTGGAGTAGGCATTGGTGCCAGGGCATAGTTTCCCAAGGGAAGTACTCTGAAGGTGACAGTAGTGATATTCAGCAATGAGGTATACAGTACCTTTGCTAGGGTGAGTTTGCAAACTTAATTGTTAGACCTTGTATGTGGCTGGCTTTGTATTTCTCTTGGACAGTGTTGATCTAGCACATGCTAGCGTGCATGGCTGAACCTAATTAAAAAAACGACACCTCCTCTATGACCTTAATTGTCCAAGACTAGACTAGTTATGTACCCTATGTACTCTTCCATTGCTCTTATATTTATTTCTATCATAGCATTATTTCATTGTATTATAATTGTCATTCCACCAGGCTGAATGTTACTGAAGGAAAAAGATAGAATTATATTTTTAGCCTCTGTAAATTGACAAAGATTCTCTCCTTGACCAAACTCCAGCTAGATAACCTCTTCTCAATAAGGCCTCAACCTCACCTATAAAAACTACAGACACAAATTATTTCATCTACTTCCTTATACCCACATTAAAAGATTTAAACAAACACTAAATAATTTCTAAAAGCTTAAGGCCACAACCCTAGGATGATCCTACTCTTCCTTCAAAGTGCCTCCCTAAGAAAGCTCAAGATTGCCAAAAGAATTTACTATTTGTTCTAGTCAATATCAGACAATAGAGAATTTACTCTTTGAGCTTATGATTGTGATTCCTTCCTTTGTTCCTACGAGATGTGTATGTATCTCCCATAAGTCAGAAGTGTCTTTCTCAAGGACCTGAAAGTCATTCCTATAAAATGTAATCACCAGGAAAGTTAGGGCTTCAGTCTCCCAGTTTCCACGGGAGGACACAGTTCTAACTTCTGGCTCGGCACCCATAGCTCAGTGGCTAGGGTACCTGGCCCCATTCACTAGGGCTGGCAGGTTTGAACCCAGCCCAGGCCTGCTAAACAAAAATGACAACTACAACAAAAAAAATAGCTGGGCGTTGTGGCAGGCACCTGTAGTCCCAGCTACTTGGGAAGCTGAGGCAAGAGAATCACTTAATCCCATGAGTTTGAGGTTGCTGTGAGCTGTGACACCACAGCACTCTACTGAGGGTGACATAGCAAGACTCTGTCTCAAAAAAAAAAAAAAAGAAAAAGAATTCTGACTTCTATAAGTGCCAGCTACAAGATATACAGCTGGCCTAATCCATATTTACTCTGACCAACACTTTGTAGTTCTTTATTTCCCTTACTGTCTTTCCTCACCCCCACTACTCCCTCATTCTCCCTTTAAAACACCTACTCACCTCTGTGCAAATCGAAGTTGAGTTCAGTTCAGGGCTGGACTTGGCTTATACAATATTATTTTAAAATTTGTCCTTACCTTTTAACTAGTATCTAGCTTTATCTTTGATAATACCCAGGATATAGCACAGGCATGAAGAAAATAGTCAATAAATGTTAAATGAATGAGATTTATACTAAAATAATGCTGTTAAGATGATGAGAGTCACACAAGACTGAAACTACAAATCACTGGGGCAATAAGCAATCATAAATTATAACCTCAGCCAGTGAGGCCTTCAAAACAAAGTCAAAGATAATAACATTAGCATATTTTTAAAAGTTCCAATCTGTTATAGAAAAAATAAAGAATACTAAAATCTAGGTTGTTTTCTTACCTGAAGTCAAATTTCTAGCTGTACTTTGCGATTTTTGCATTTCAGTAGATTTAAAATTGAGGTCATCCTGCATCATTTTTAGCTCTTGATTGGTGACAGAGGATATCTGTTTCATACGATTTAAATCCTGTATTTGCAGAGAAATAAAAATAAAAAATATTCCATTGACTTAACTCTTTAATAAAACCCCTGGAAAACACTGTTAAAGGATGAGATGCTTGTATTCTTTCCTGGAATATGTGATTCAACTTATTCATTAAATATGAAATGTCAAATTTTACATCAAAATTTAGTTTATTATATCTCAAACAAGAAGCAGTACATAGTTTTTGCCATCTTAATGGTAGCTTATTTATGCCAGCAGCAAAAAAGCCTAGAGAGCAAGTGGCAATAAAATACGAAAAATGTTTTTTACAGCTTGTTGAGAATTAAATATTTTTGCTTACAAGAAATGGTTCAAAGCCTGGAAAAAGTGATAGATAGTGGTGCAAGGTCTGGTGAATACAGTGGATGCAGAGCCAGGTCCAGTTTCTGTAGTTACAGCAGCATTGTTTATGTACATACGGTCAATGTCATCTTGCAAGACAGGCCTGTTTCTATTAAACAAACTTGGCTGGCTACTTGAATGAAAGCATTCTCATCATTTCATCCAATTGGTTGCAGTAAACATCCACTGTAATCTGCTGATCAGGTTTCATGAAGCTGTAGTGGAACACAGCTTGAAACACCAGACGCCATTAGCTTTTTTTTTCATGAATATTTGGTTTTGGACTGTGTTTTGGCACTTCATCTTTATCTAACCATCATGCTGAACACTTTGGATTGTCAAAAAGAATCCATTTCTCTGGCTGGGGACCTGTAGCTAAATGGTTAGAGCGCTGGCCCTGCACGCGGGGGGGGGGGGGGGGGGGTGGGGGGCAGGCCTGCTAAACAAACGAACAACAACAGAAGAAAAGGAATTCGTTTTTCACCACATGTAGTAGTATGATGTAGAAATAGTTTACCTTTATGTTGTTTCAGCAAAGAAAGGCAGGCTTCAAGAAGATTTCTCTTCTGATGCTCATTTAATTCAAAGAGAACCCATCTATCAGCTTCTTTATTTTGCTGATTTGTTTCAAATAGTTTAATTTTTTTCTAATATTATTGTAATAGTAACATCAAACTTCACTGCTAATTCACACGTAGGTTGAGATGAATTTCCTTTCACTACAGCTTTCAGCTCATCATTATCCACCTTGGTCTCCAGTAGCCCAAGTGGCTCATTTTCAAGATTAAAATCACCAGAACAAAACTTCTCAAACTATCAATGTATTATGTGCATTCGTTCATTAGCTGTATCCTTCCCAAACACTTCGCTACTATTTTGAGCGATCTGAACTGTTCCATGATGGAATTCATATTAAAAAAAAAAAAAAAAAAAAGGATTTTTTATTTATCCATGGTTTCACAGAAATTGCTCTAAAAAATTCTTAAAAGATAGTCACAAGCTAAAATGTACATTTGAAAGGATGATTTCACAATAAAAATAAGACAACAAAGGTCAAAGTAAAATGTCAGAGATTATCAATTGTCAAACTTAGTACTTAAGAAAATCATACATTTCTTATGTAATAACCGAGAAAATGTTTTATAGAAGAATATGGTGAGATTTAAAGTCAGGCTTTCTCAATAAAAAGAGATTATAATTTTAAAAAATTGTTTTCATTTGCTTTATTTCACTATAGAAAAAATGCGACATTATTTTAGAATTAATTAGAGCCTTAAACACTAAGAATATTGGAGAGGGACAATGTACTTTTTCTCCCATGGTGCCACGCCCAGCACATACATGCTCAATAAACATGTTTTGATCATTCAAGATGCTCATTAGGTAAACCTAGAAGAAATGAATCCCTTCATTTACAATATAAATTACAGTGTAAAGTATATTAACATTTTCTGTCTAGGTTTCAAAATTATCTATGAAAATGTTACTTTTTTACAAGTTCAGACAGATTACAATGGAAGAAAATCTTCCTAATGACTCTAAATTAGTGCCTCATTTACCATGGAATATGAGTATTATGTATATGGCATCCCTTCCCTCCATCTCCCTACTTGGCTGACATTGTTGGAGAGAGAAAAATTAATAGCTTAAAGAAACAAAATAGCAAGCAAGGGAATTTAAAGGAAACAGTTTAAATGAATAGACATGATATTGACATGACATTTTTTGAGTTGTATTTGAAAAGTCAATCACAGAAAAATAATGACACCATCACAGGCATGTGGTACTTACACGACTACAGTGCTCCAAAAGTGAAACAATGCTGGCTTCTATCTGTGCCTTCCGTTCCAGTTCCTGACTCTTAGTTTCCTCAAAAGTCTCAATAAAAGCTACCAATTGAAAAACACAAGAGAGGCTACTGTTGATACAGTTAACACTATATAAACTCTGATTTGTAGGTCTCAAGAGTACGTCTTAGAAATGCAAAGCAAAATATACATTTTAATAATTTTTTTTTTTTTGCAGTTTTTTGCCAGGGCTGGGTTTGAACTCACCACCTTCGGTATATGGGGCCGGCACCCTACTCCTTTGAGCCACAGGCACTGCCCAGCAAATATAAATTTTATACTATCACTGTTAAATTTTTTATTAACTCAAGGGTAATTACTCAATAAGACCATTTCCACATACTTTTAAACTTTGAAAGTCTAATTGCTGTAACCTTGATATGAGTAAATTAGAAAGTTATAATAGACTTCAAAAAAAAAAAAAGCTCACAACATGGAGATAAGAAGAAATCTGTTTTTACATAGGATCTTCTTGATAGATCTATAATTGGCCACTAACTTTACTTCTGAAATTAATATTACTAATAATTATTTTATTTGAAAATGAGTGTTTTGCTTATAATACTGTATTAATTTCAACTAAATAAATGTATTCAGATTATAAGTAAATACTCTAGGAAATCATACTTTTATTTGTCTAATACGGAACTAGCATATAATTTGCACCTATTTACAGTTTTCAAGTATTTCTATGAAACTTCTAAAAAATACCTATCAATTAAAACTAATTTTACTGGTAGCATGAAATAACCCTCAATGGTAATGGATTTCCATTATACATTTTTCCTACTTATACATTAAGTATATTTCTTACTTGACATAGTCTACAAGAAAAAAAAATTTATTTGAATATTGTGGGTGGAGACCACAACTAACATTTTTTTAAAAACTGAATTTTCTTCAATATCCTACTTTGACATCCAAATACAAGTTTCACGTGTGATTATCTTAAATCTATAATCCATTGATGATGTATTAAGTAGTCATATGAAATTTTTACACAAGGAAGGGATACATGAACATACTTTTTCACAAGTTATTTTGTTAAGAAAACAAACCACAGGGCTGGGCACAGTGGCTCACGCCTGTACTCCCCGTGCTTGGGCACCGAGGTGGGTGGATTGCCTGAGCTTACAGGTTCAAGACCAGCCTGAGCCAGAGTGAAACCTTGTCTCTAGAAAAACAGCCAGGTGTTGTGGTGGGCACTTATAGTCCCAGCTACTCAGGAGGCTGAGACAAGAAAATTGCTTAAGCCCAGGAGTTTGAGGTTGCTGTGAGCTACGACACCATGGCACTCTTACCAAGGATGACAAAGTGAAACTCTGCCTCACCAAAAAAAAAAAAAAAAAAAAAGGAAAAGAAAAGAAATCATAATTAAAACACGGGAAGAAATCTGGGATAGGTGACCTATTATTTTAATATTCTGCAATACAGGAGTTTCTTGAATTCACTTGATAAACATTTATTAAGTAACCCCTAAGTGCCAAACAATCATACTATGTAGTAGTTAGTGATTTCCAATATTGTGGAGTTATAACATATCATTCCTTGATTTTAGAGTCTCTTCTTTATGAAGAGCACTTAAAAAACAAACAAAAAAAAGACCACAATGGCTGGGTACAGTGACTCATGCCTGTAATCCGAATGCTGTAAGAGGTCAAGGTGGGAGAATTGCTTGAGGCCAGGAGTTTGAGACCAGCCTAGGCAAGAATGAGACCCCAAGCTCTAAAAAAATTAGAAAAATTAGCTGGGCATCATGGTGCACACCTGTACTCACAGCTACTTAAGAGGCTGAGGCAAGAAGATTATTTTGAACCCAGAAAGTCTTGAGGTTTCTGTGAGCTGTGATGATGCCACTGAACTCTAAATAATAATAATAATAATAATTATAATAATAATTTTGAGATAATTTCTGATATTTGTTGATTTTAAAGAAATCTTAGTATATTGTGAAATCAGAGTTGACAATTACTGATTTACAGCATGCCTCTACAAAGGTAATAATTGACCTCAGATCTATAAAATTTTAGATTTTAGTGAAATAATTACTTAAAAGGAAACCAATAATAGATAATATAGGTCAATTTTTAGGCTCGGCACCTGTAGCACAGTGGTTTATGGTGCCGGCCACATTCACCAGGTCTGGTGGGTTCAAACCTGACCCAGGCCAGCTAAACAACAATGACAATTGCAACAAAAAAATAGCTGGGTATTGTGGTGGGCACCTATAGTCCCAGCTACTTGGGAGGCTAAGGCAAGAGAATCGCTTAAGCCCAAGAGTGTAAGGTTGCTGTGAGCTGTGATGTCATGGCACTCTACTGAGGGTGACATAGTGAGACTCTGTCTCAAAAAAAAAAAAAAAAGAATGTCAATTTTTAAAAATTTATAATGTATGGGGCTCAGTGCCCATAGTGCAGTGGTTACAGTGCCAGTCACATACATCAAAGGTGGTGGGTTTGAATCTGGCCCAGGTGAACTAAACAACTGCAATAGAAAAATAGCTGGGCAATGGGCAGTGCTGTGGCTCAAAGGAGTGGGGTGCCGGCCCCATGTACCAGACCTGGGGGGTTCAAACCTGGCCCTAGCCAAAAACTGCAAAACAAAAAAAAATAGCTGGGCAATGTGGTGGGCGCCTCTAGTCCCAGCTACTTGGGAGGCTCAGACAAGAGATTTGCTTAAGCCCAAGAGCTGGAGGTTGCTGTGAGCTGTGATGCCACAGGCACTCTACTAAGGGTGACAGAGTGAGACTCTGTCTCAAAAAAAAAAAATTATAATGTATAATACAAATTTAAATGAAGATCCATTTATAAAGTCAAGCTAAGATTCCTTTTTTTTGAAGTGAATGAAAAACTATAATAGAAGACTACCAAAATTACCAAATTTGTATTAGTAACAAAATCTGAGATGAAAGCTAATAAATAATGAGATAAGTATTATTAAACAATAAAAGTGAAAGATATTAAGGTAAAAAAAGTGAAGCAAGAAAAAGAGAAGATTCAATGTTCAGTCAGTAAGTGGTCTACATGATCTCTCTATATAGACTATGAATGCAAACACTAGCTTTAAAATTTATCTCCAACATGCAAATACTTATACATACACATACCTCTCTTTAAAATTCTCCACTAATCCTTAAATTATACCAGAAATTTTTATTCTCAAGGAAAAATGCTTTGAATATCCATACTTCTTTCTTTTTCTTTTTCTTTTTTATTAAATCATAGCAGTGTACATTACAATTTGAAATACTTTCATCCAACTGGTTAACATAGCCTTCACGTCTTTTTCTTAGTTATTGTAATAAGACACTTATATTCTACATTTAGAGAGATTCAAATGTACCCTTATAGGATGAACCATAGGCGTGATCCCACCAATCACCCTCCCTCCACCCACCCTTCCCTCGTCTCCCCTCCCTCTTCCCAAAATGACATCTCTGATTTCATATAAATGAATAGCAATCTGAGAATATAATAATTTATCTATAAGAATATCACTTACTGTCCATATTTTCTTCCCTTTTTTTTAGCTCCTTGTATTTCTGATTCATTTCACCTATAAGAAACACAAAATATAACATCAATTTCAAAAACTTCAAATATAGTGCTCTAAAATAGAAATGCCTCTCTGTTTCTCTGTATGGCATTGGTCATTAAATATTCAATATTTCCAATTAGGTAAAATTTTTTTATAAGACTTATAGAGTCTTTTAAAGCATATATGTGTGTGTGTGTTTATATTTTGAATATTTAGAAAAAACAATATTATGCCCAGAAAGAACTTAAATGTTTTCCATTCTCAACTTGGGGCTATTCACCCTACACATGAATACTACTAGTGGCAAGAAACATAAATTCCTGTAAGCTCTCACCTAATAGGCAATGTAAGGGTATACAGCCCCTCCCTCCCTGTGTGAGGGGCTCAACTACATCTTGAACTTTACCTAACAAACACAAACAATGTAACCTAATCATTTGTACCTTAACATTAATCTGAAAAAAAAAAAAAAAAGAAACGTAAGTTCCCAAGAAAAAGCTCACAAGGACAAACAAGATAGCACAGTAACTTCCCTCACAGATTTATGGTCTAGGGTAGTGTTTTTCGACCTTTTTTATCTCACAGCATGTGTCAACCTATAGTTAAGCCTCTGCAGTACACTTAGGTTATGTCAATTAAAAAAAGAGTGAAAAAAATATATTTGCTGTGTTTTGAACCTCTTTTGAAAACAATTTAATTAACGCTCTTTAAAAATTTTCTAGGCACACCTAAGATCCTCTCATGGCACATCAGTGTGCCATGGCACACAGGTCGAAAATCACTGGTCTAGGAATTTAACAAGAAATTATACCAAAGTGGAAGGACTACTTGAGGCCAGGAGTTAGAGACCAGCCTAAGGAAGAGTGAGACTACATCTCTACAAGAAATACAACAATTAACTGGGCATAGTGGCACATGCCTGTAGTCTTAGCTACTTGGGAGGCTGAGACAGGGGGATCACTTGAGCCCAGGAATTTGAGGCTGCAGCAAGCTTATGATAATGCCAATGCACTCTAGCCTGGACAAGAGATCAAGACCTTGTCTCAAACAAAAACAAAAATGAAAACAAAAATCAAGTAATTACAATTAAAGTGTATTGAGTGCTATGGAGCTCTTAGCAAAGGCAAATAATCTAGTAGTTCAGGGAGTTGAGGGATGTAGAGAAGATTTCCCTAAATATGTTTAACCTGCATCATAAAGAATTAGTAAGAGTCACTTGGTCAAAATACAGAATCTGCAAATGTCAAGGCTTTACCAGGAAAAGTTTGGAAGTGAGAATGAATATGGTAGCATAAGAAACTGAAAGAGTGGTATGGCTGAAACAGAGAATGTGAATTTAAAAAGGGGCACAAAACCCTCAGTGATTCCCCAACAATAAAAAAAGGGGCACAAAGATGAGGTAGATTATAAAATACCTAGCAAGACCCATGTTAAACAGTTTAGACTTTTCTCCTACACATAATTACTAAGAAATTTTAAGCACAGGTTTGCATTTTTGAAAAAATTTTCACCTCTGGACAACAAAAGAGAAGATTGGAGGCAATAAGACAAGTCAGAAAGTTGTCACTTTCTGGGGAACAGATGGAAGTTGCCTTGAGTGGTGTTAATTAATAGACATTAGTGGATTTTTGTTTGAGATATTTAAGAACCAGAGAGAATGGATTTTGGTGAGGGTTAAAGAGGGAGGAGTAAAGTATGATTCCCAGGTTTCTGGCTTGAGCATCTAAAAAGATGGTGGTATTAATGTCTAACAGGGGAGCAGGTTGAAGCAGCTGCTGCTTATAGTAGTTTTAAATATGCTGAGTTTAATAAACATAAAAGCATGTCTAAAGGGACAAAGATCCAAGGTCCAGAAAGATGGATGAAATCTTGACATTAGTAGGGTTGGACCATGATTATTTTATGATAAAAGGATTTATCGTAACAAAACAGTTTTGAAGGCACAAGCCTATTCTAGACAGCAGATGGTTACAGCCCTGTATACCCAGGACCTTGGGTAAAGAAAGCAGAATAAATCTGTGCTTACTCCATTCTTTGATTTCGTCACATTAGTCAGTCAGTTCCTAGCTTTCTATAGAAACTAAGGAAGCCTATTAAGATGATACTCAGCAACGATAGAGAGAAAAACAGGTCGAAGATTCCTACAAGAGTTCCAGTTTAGGAACTGGCATCTGGAAAAATGAAATGAGAGCTTCCTCCTAAATGTGGAAGCAAACAGTTGGATCCCAGAGACTAAAACTCAGTGGTCAGTCTGTGAGTCTGTGTGCTATATATCCTCTCACAAGGTATAGAGTCTTTTCAAGTCTTGTCTAGAGCATCAGTAAAGTTAGGAAATGGAGGGAGAGAGTGGAGAGGAATCCTAATTATCTGTGCATATACACATCTCAGTGGTAAGTCAGCTATGAACATACAAAGGTGATGGCAAAGTCAAAGACCTAGCACAGTTCTGACTTCTGGTCTGAAAACAGTTTTCTCAACTTTACTGACAGCCCTGACACTGAGGAAATCTTATGTTAGGGCCTCCAGGTATTATTGGTAGTAAAAAGCTGAAAGTGAAAGCTACTGTCTAAGGACAGTAAATACCTAGTGGTCTCATGAGTTCCTAGTAAGGCTGCATCCCACACCAATGGGAAACATTAGGTCCACTCAGATAAGGATCTGGATGCATTAACAACTTTACAGAGCTGCTACTCTGGATTTCAACTTATCAACAATGGTCTCAGAGCACATGCACCATAAATAGTTGTGAAGAAGGAGCATCAAGTAATTTGTTATTAATAACAAACTTTGAATATGATTTTTAAAAAAAATCCACTACAGACAGGATTAAGATTAGTCCTATTACAATGTCACTGTTCACTTAACCTTCCTGCAAAGTTTTTCAATGCGAAACAAAGAGGAAGAGTTAGAGCTTATAGCACACCTAACACACATGAAGTAGCAGAAAACTAGGATCTCTTGAGCCTTTATGGCTTAGATTTATAAGAAAGTCTTAGTTCCTTATTTTGGCTGCCTGAGAAGTTCCACTCTTAAGAGATTGGTCAGGATTAAGGGATTAAGAGGAAGGCCTGGATCCTAGGCTTAACAAGGATTTAACTACCATAATATCTTTCTTCTTTGAAATTTAAGAGAATTCCCTACAGATGAGGTTTCCAGTTTCTCATCTTACTTTCAGACCTCAAGACACTACAATGAGGCTTTTCCTCCTCCTATTCCAATGAAATTATTCTTAGTAAGACTGTATGACTCCCTGATTACCAAATCCAAAGGGCAGTTTTTAGTTACTTTACTCTGTAATATTTGACACTGTTGATACATCCTTTCAATTTTCTTTGTTTTCCTTTATGTTTTGTTTTTGCTTTTTTGGGGAAGGGGGAGGAGCCCTCTCTGGCTTTTGTTACTCTCAGATCATTCTTTCTCTGCCTTTTCTTCATAGGTCCACTCACTTCATCATGTAAGAGTTCTGCTCTTGGGCGGCACCTGTGGCTTACTGGGTAGGGTGCTGGCCATGTATACTGAAGGTGGCGGGTTCGAACCCAGTCCTGGCCAAACTGCAACAAAGAAATAGCCAGGCATTGTGGCGGGCACCTGTAGTCCCAGCTACTCAGGAGGCTGAGGAAAGAGAATTGCCTAAGCCCAGGATTTTGAAGTTGCTATGAGCTGTGATGCCATTGCACTCTACTGAGGGCAATAAAGTGAGACTCTGTCTCTAGGAAAAAAAAAAAAGAGTTCTACTCTTAATGTACTTCTAATGTATGTTATATTCATGGCAATCTTATTCTTGTGCTTTAAGAACTCTCAGATTTAACCTTTTCCCTGATTTTTAGATTCTTCCTCCCAAATGCTTACAAAACTCATTTACTTGGAAGTTCTTTAGTACTGCAGTTCCCAGTACCCATTGGTGACCTGTTAGGAATCTGGCCACACCACCTGAGTTCCACCTCCTGTCCCATTCCTCCCCACCTCCCATCTGTGGAAAAATTGTTTTCCATTGACACTGGTCCCTGGTGTCAAAAAGGTTCCAGTCTGTTGTGAGTGGTAGGGGAGTTGAGTGAAGCTTCATCTATATTTACGGCTGTTCCCCACTGCCTTATCACCACCTGAGCTCTACCTCCTGTCACACCCCACCCCTACCCCTAAAAAAACTGTTTTCCATAAAACCAGTCACTGGTGCCAAAAAGGTTGGGGACTGCTGCTTTAGGACATCCTAAAACTTAATGTTCACAATTAAGCTCATCAGTTTTCCCCTTCAAATTTGTACCCCTCTTTATTCACTATTAATTTGGATGTCCTCACCATCCACTTATCACTCAAGTCAGAAACTTGAAAGATTCCTCCCTCCCGATCCCCTCAAACCCATTTTCCTAGCTGCCAACAGATTGAGCTTGAAGACCTATCCGGTCAATGTCTACAGCTGCATAACTGGCCAGTCGGATGAGATGGAACAGAGCCCCTACACATCTCTATGGGTTCTCAAGCTTCATAAAACATCCTCCAGTATCACTGATGTGAAGAGTGGTTACTGCTCCAGTTGGTGATTTCTTGGTGGATGATTCATTTCTGAGCTGCCCCAAAGAGGCAATATACAGATGTAGGTGGTCCTAAGGAAGGGTAAACCGTAGGAGTTGTTACCAAATCTATCCTTAGATTCAATATGCCAGGAGAGAATAAAATCATAGATAGAAGAAAATAAATCAGTGTATCAATCTGGAGGCACAAGCAGAAGGGTCTAAGGTAGTAAGATCAACCATAAAAGATTAAGGAAGAGGGAAAGGGATACAATAATAAAATGAGGGTAACTTTCAAAATAATCTCAAGTTCTGAACATCTGATGTGATCACAGTTCTACATTCATTTATTCCATACACATTTAGTGAGTATCTACTATGTGCCAGATACTGTAATGGGTGCTGGGGATATCAAAATGAACATGATGGCTCCTATCCTATCCTCAAAGAGCTCAGAGTAGAATCTATTAGGTGTGCAAAACCAGAAAGTTACAATGGAACATAGGTGCT